CGGATAAACGCGCCGCGACATGCCATTTCTACTTTTAAACCGCGCCAGTTCGATTTCTTCGCGCGAGAACTTTTCTCCTACGGTGTGTTACGAAGTGGAAAAAACTGGGTCAACGACTGTGAGATACCATCGGCTTATAGGCCCGTAGCTACGTTTCTAACCCTTCTTGATGGATGCGCACGGCCAGCCTCCGGTATCGTCGAGCCACGGTTCCTAGCGTGATCCTGAATAACGGAAGAGGGCTTATCTGTCAAGGAAATTGACAGTGAAACGGAACATCCCACCTCCGGTACGCGACTTCGTTTCCTCGGGTATCGTTCGAAACAGAAATTCATCGCCCCTTTCTCGGCTAGTTGCGCGCAGATCGAGCGGAATTTAATTTATTTCCTTTCAATTTAACGGATTGACTGTTTCTCGCAAAAAAGGAAGCACGGGACAGTAACGAAGATTAAGGGAGGGAAGGAAATTATCGCGCCATTTCGATGACTAAATTCAGATTTAGGAAGAAATAAAATTTATGACGATAATAGAATACAGAGAAACTTCATCCTTTCGATAATGAGCGACGAGTGACGCGGCAAGTACGATGTCCGATAAGAGCAGATAACGGTACAGTGAAATATCAAAAGGCGAGATGCATAGCTCTTCGAAACAATCCATCGTGTTATCGATGGTTGAAACATAACGAAGCTCTTATCTCGTCTAATCTTTCCCCCAAGGAAAGTATCGTAAGATTTCGCGTTTAAGGTCCCGTTGGAAGTCCTACGACATCGAAAAACGACGTCCTATTGTCATCGTCGTTTTCCTTTCTCCCTTTCTTTTTTTCGCTATAAATACTCTGTGCTCGACAAATATCCACGTCTCTGCTCAGCAGATTTCTTCGAGGTCTGAAATAGGATCTAGAGGCGCAAGGAGATCTCCAAAGCAGTGCAACGCAATCATTTATATTCCCTTTACGAACATCTTGCGAGGTGACTTCCGTCGTCGGTCTTCATTTTCCTGTAGGTTTTCACCTGGCGCCGTTGACGTTTCATCTCGTTATAAAAGAGTCGTTTCGCCTCCTTGTACGCTCCCCTAGGGCGCGCGTGATATAGAAAACGAGGACGAAACGGCATCAGTAAAAATTTAATATTAATCTGGAAGCTTGTTTCTTTTTCGAGCTAGTTTCACCGTAAGCGATAACGCGTTAAGTACATAATGCTCTCTCGTTATATTTCGGTCAAATTTAATTGATCGACTCGCGGTGATGAACGCGTTGAACCCTCGTTACGCTTTGTGTCATTACCGACGCGTCATCTCGCGAGGACGACTTCGCGGGTGTCGCTCGGAGGGGTGCGACCTCGTTTCTCAACCCTGTCGATCGAAGGGCTGATTGGTTCATTGCCTCCTCCTCGTTGAATCGTCCCTGATTTAGAAAGGGTGAATGCGCGGACCTTCTTCGAGAGCGTTCGTTAAAGAGGCGATATCGAGAGGTAGATAATTTCCGGCCTCTCGGTTCGTCCTTAACGACTCTCCTTTTATTTCGATTACGAAACGACTCGCGAACGACGAAACTGGGTGGGCCGTTGGCTCGATATCCCGACGAAATTACCGGCTCGGCATCGAGCAGTTCCGGTGAAACAGAAAATGCATGCCTCTCTATGGCGAAACGAGAAAACCGAGCGTGGAGTTTCCAGTTTCTGGAACAACCGAGTCGCTCCATCGGAAACGAAGGAATCGCCAATTTAAGCGAGTCGGCGAACGTCTGTAACTAATGTTACGTTCAAACGACCGATATAAGTACGTTCCCCTCGTTTCTGGCAATCCTTATCTCCATCCTTTATCGTTCTTCGCTCGAGGTTCCCGGAGCACGTAGAACACCGTCTATGCAATATAAAACGTCCCTCGAGTTTCGATACAAACTGGTCGATCCGAGACATCGTCGAGCTGGGAACCTAGTGTATCCGTGCAAGAGAGGTCTTTTGATTTAAATAATTGCTGGTTCGAGCACGCCGTAAGAGGCTGCTTCGCGGAACTTTGTATTCAAAGGTACAATACATTTCGGTGTCCTCGGAACGGCGTCGCGTTCCGTACTGTTAACGCTTTGACGATCGCGTGTTTCATGGGATCATTTAACCATTTCGATCCAGCGCTTTCCACCGATTAACAGACATTCCTTTGCATTCGAATTACCGTAGTCTTCGATTTCGAATCGAGACGAATCGAACACGAAACCGTGTTAAGAGAAAACCGTAATAAACGCGTTTCGCACGAGAATAGATTAAGAAAGGGTTCTTGCTGGGTACGAGGATAGAGAGAACCGTGGTGTAACGGGTGGATTACGATCTCTTCGCTTCTGGTAGATTGATGCGATTTCTCAAAGATCGAAGGGACGAGAGGGGGTCCGAGCAATGGCTACCTTCCTAATTACCGGACTGGAACCGGGCCATCCGCCTGGCAGTTAACGTCAGAAAGTTAGCGCCTATGAACCGGACACACCGCGGCAATTACGAAGAAACTCCTTGTACAAGAAAGTAACCCAGCAACCGGTTATTTGCTGGAAATTCTTGCCACAATTTTGTCGACACGCGTAACAATTTTTGGTAATAACGCGGTCCTTATTCGCGGGACTCGCGAATTCTTTGCTTAAAATTGGGATTCCTCGAACTCGATGTCCGTTCGATAGTCAATTATCTCTGGTATACACGATCCGTGATTGCCGCGACTAAAGCTGATCACAGCTTTCTAAGCCAGTACGAAAAAGAATCGAAAACTGATTAGTCGCCGTTGGCAAGAATACGCGGAATGCTTTGGGAAAATATCTTAGAACGGAATACGAACGAAACCGTGCGAGACAATAACCGTAGTCGGTGGGTTATATGGAAACGAAACGTGAACCGTCGTAAATATACAGCCAGAGTACAGACAATTGGAATGGAATTCGTGTGCGTGGTTAGAGGATTCCGAGAGCTTAACATATTTGCCACGAGTGATAAAATAGAAAAGTGTAGGAAGAAATGGCATCGATACACGTTCTTGGAATAGACGATGAACGCTTGCCAAAACTAGCGTTTCGCCATAAGCCGCCTGGAAGAAGAAACGTTGGACATCTAAAGAGATGGATCGACGATTTCGTACCAGCCAAAAAGTCTCGTCGAAAAGTATTACAAGAATCATAGTACACTTTCGAATCGACTATATCTAAGAATTTTCTTCTCGAGTCACTCTGCGGTTATCGCGATGGGAGTTATTTACCGAGCTGAAAAATCGCCAGCCACGATGAATCAGGAAGGAGACGGTCGAAAAGTACACGGACTGCTTTCACGGTCATAGAAACCGACGGTACGAGACAGTACGACCTCGAGAAGAACGATAGAAACGGCGATAGTTCATAGTTACGCTTGGCTTGGCTAGACACAGGCTAGACATAGATTCCTAGACAGAACGGCCAAGGTTGTCCGAGTCCATTCAGGTGAACGGATACCTGTTCGTCTAGTCTTTGAATCGCGATAGAGCCGGTCAAAGGAACCGACTGGCGACCGACGACCGGCAAGAAACCGTAATCCAGAACAGAACCGCGTTACCATTACAATTTCAGATCGCGTCCGAGCTACAGCTGGCCGAATGAGAAACGAAACCTAGTCGCGCACTTCTTTGCATAACAAGATCTTTCGCTTGCCTGGCCGCTCGATCGACCTTCTAAGTAGAACGATTTATAACGACGCAACGTTCATCCTCGAAGTAGAAATGTTCGAATAACATAAAACACTGTCGGATATTCGTAAATCGCGTTCAAAACGGCTAAGGATTATTTTAAGCCTTTCATTTCTTTTCCTTTCTTCGATCAATTATACGATCGCATTCCGTTTGAGGCGCCAGTTACCGATAACCCCTGAGGCAGTCGGTGCGTTAAAATAAAAGCTGTTAACAAGCGAACGTACTTTCTTATTCCGTATCCTTATTTAGCGAACGCGATAAATACAAGCGGAATTGCGAAATGCTTTAAGAGTTAGGTATGCCGAATCTTTCAAATGAATTTTCTCGAGAGGTACCGGGAAATTTTCCACCGTTACACAACATCCTGAGGAACGATAGAACCTCGATAGCAACAACGGTGACGATAGACGCGCCTAACTCCTAGCACGATCATCGCCAAAAAGCGAGATCCACGCAGGTGTGCGTGTTTGGGCGCGAGTCGAAGCCTCGTGTGTGCGTGTTTCGCGTGCGTGGCTGTGGTTCGAGTGGCTTGTGCCAAAGGGTACTGACCCTGACCCAAGGGGCATTGCTCCTACGGTGCGTTTCTCCGTTCCTTTTCTGTTAGATCGCTCACACCGACGTAGCGACGGCTTAGTAACGATGTCCGGGCATCATCGGGATTCTTTTTTGCACGGATGCTAAACCGTTCGCTTTGGAAACTAGTAATCGGCACCGGTCTCGGCGAATCCGCTTGGACGAAGACCGGCTAAACGAGGAAGCGATCCGGTGCCGTTCTCTTCTGCACGGGTCTTTTCGATTAGAATGCACGCTAAATGTTCCCCACGCCTTCCACCAAATTCACTGGCCAATGGAAGTACGGCTTTGAACGGTCCTAATTAACGGAAGAATTTTCGACGATCTTGTCCTCGTTTTGTTAGAATTTTTATACATCGTAAAACTAACTACATTTTCTCTACGATGAACTGTACCTAGAACGTTATGAAAACGAAGGAGATTTTATCGATCAAGATTTTACTCGAAATACGATGGAGTCATAGAGCCAAATACTGGAAGAGTTCTAAAGAAGCTCCTACTGTGTTCCTATGATACTAGTTATAGTTCTATTCTCAAGATGCTATTCTATTGTCACAATAGAAGGAAAGAATGATTAAGATCCTATTTGAAATATGAATAGTCATATTGGAGCGACATATTGGAGATGTTCTAGAGAAGTACCTAGCGTGTTATTTCCTAATTTATCATAGAATATATAATAGTGTCGTCTTCGAGTAAAATATTTCCATCGAATAAAAATATCCATCGTGTTAGAGTACGGAGTCGAAAAAAGATGATAGTCGAGCGATTCGCGTTCCGATTTCTCGCTGGTCGTTCGCCTTCCCCATAAAAGGTTCGGCTAAGATCTCTCCCCGTGCCCCACGTCCCGTAAGCTTCCCCCTTCCAATACGTCCTGTAGACGTACCATCAAGAAAAGGATACCACGTAGACGAGTTTTGGCCAGCCGGTGTCCCATATACCAGGCCTTTCACCTTTCGCGCCACTCGACGATTCACGCGAGGTTGATCTCTCGCCGTTTTGAACGCGCGATTTCTTGCCAACGAGTTTCGCGAAGAAATTGCCGCGGTACTCGTACCGGAAATCATGAGGGAAACTTTTCCTTTTTCTTCTGCTAACCGTCGTCTTAAAAGGACAGAAAAAAAAGCGATTGGTCTACGACGTTTCCAGGATTCGAGAGGCACCTTGTCGATTCTGGTTGGCGACTGGATTCCAGGGAATCGAATCGTTCTGAAATGTTGCACTTGGTCTGCTCGCGATTTCTTTTAATGCCCCTCTCGCCAGACCACCCAGGCTATTTCGTGTCCCGGGCGTATGCACGCTCGCTACTTTCAACAGAGTGTCGGTTCGAAGAATGAAAATAGTCGAGCGGAGGCATTCGACGAGTGAATGAAGTCACGCGATAAACACGATCGCGTAGGCTGTAAACAGCGTGCTTTCGAGTATTCAGAAATCCTGCGTTTCTCGTTACGTAACCGTACCGATCGATCCATCGATCGTTCCGCGAGATCGTCGCGATGATCAGCCATCTATCGCTTCGTCGCGTCGATACGATTGAAAACCATTTTCTGCTTACCGCTCAAAATATCGTTTTAATAGTCCAGCCTTTCACTCGAGCGAAGATCTAAAAACAGATGTTTTCGAGAGCCTTCTATTTGCTGTTCCACCTTTTACGCTTCGAATGCCGATCTAACTCGTCTTTTCAGTTTTAAATTTCCTCGCGATCGCCAATAAGAAA